CACCCAGGGGAGGGGGAGGGGGGGGGAGGGGGAAATTCGGTCTAAGACTTGTTCCTTTCTTCACTCTGTTACCATTAAGAAGCCAATCATGTTCATAACAACACTGCTTCACTCACTGAGGATAATTAAGTATTTGTTAACTAATTTATTAGCCTGAAACCAGTTTTTCATCAAACATTTTAAAAAAGTGAGTATAAAAGTTTGAGGTCACATCGGCAGATAGGCAAGGAAAACCGGCAAATAGATAAACAAAGGACTCAACATCGAGACAAAACACACAGGCGAATGCACCTGTATAAGACCTTTCATTTTATTTCATTCCAGTATTTGTTAGTACTAGTAGACCATAGAGTAAGTAAAACTTTTTTTGAATGAATAACTAGTCTGTTACTACTCACGTAACTCATTCCTTGAAGTTTTGCTGCTTTTTCTAGTGCCACGAACAAATAGCAAACACAAGACAGAGTAAACATACCTTTGCTTTCATACTACGAAGATCTTTGAACATCATATATACAGCGAAGTGCTCTACAAAGCTTCAAAAGCAGTGAGTACGCTGGGCGTGGTGCAAGTCGGTCGTTAAGTTCGGCCATTCGCTATTGGCGCATAGCTCGTGTGCAGTTCGACAGCCCGCCAATGAGAGGTGGCGCTCTTTTGCTCGCCTATTTCACTGAGATTATTTTTTGTTTCCCTGTTCATCGAGCTCTTGGGTTCTTGCCACGAGGGCTATTGGAGGGGCGCTCACGTTCCATGCAGCTCGCTTCCAAATTTTGTCAGTTGACGCGACATTGCCTTCGCCGTAAAATAGACAACTCGTCCGTGAACTGGGAGATATCAGAAGCCCAAAACTGTCAGTGGCCCAAAACTGTACGTGCAGCTTTTTTTCATTAGTGTGGACTCCGTAACCAGCGAGCCATTAACATTGTGTAAGCGGTCGAAGAAGGTGGTTACCTTTACTGACTGCTCGGAAGTTGGAGGGTGTGGACGAGTTTTCCGGTAAAGCTCACCATCAAGTCCTGTTGGCCTTTCGGAGCACATCTATTACATCGGTAGTTTATAGGTTACCGAAATTGACCCATTTTCATACTGTATTTCCAAATGGAAACTAGATGCTCATTCAGACAAGAGTGCATTACTGTTTCTGACAAAACTAGTATTTTATTACTTTTTACTACCTATCTTTGTATTCATACTTTGTCTAATCCTTTAATTCCCTTGTCACTGAACTTCGTTACTCGAGGAGTGTTTTCGAATTTGTTCGTTGATGTGCTTGTCCACCAGTGTTACGATCCTATTGGCACACGTGGTGCTCTAGTGTTTACCGGCACCCCTCCCGACAACCGGTTAAAATTTCTTGGATGGAAATTTCTCATTGATTATTTGGTTTCATTGAATACAAGAAAACATTGTAACCAGTTTGTTGTTCATCTTTCAAATTAATCGATTTTTCAGGGGAGCATTCTGTGGACGTACGCATATTCGATCAGAGTGTACAGGATTCACCGTTTGCATGTAACGTTGGTGCACCGGAAAAAGTGGCCGTTCGAGCCGTTCCACGACGTATTTTGACCAAGGATCTGAATACTGAACACAGTTTTGAAAGTACGTGCATATTCTAAAATTTATGAGCTTTTTCTTTGTAAAACCTCAGGCGGCGGCGAAATGTTTATGGGCGCGGTGGTGGCGTTTCATTTTCGGTCGCCAGCCACCACCTTGTCTCTCATCTATGATGGGTCATACAGCATAGGCATTGTCCTCCCATTCAAAAGACCGTACTCTGATTCAGTACTGGTATTGTTTGCCAAACAAATGGTTTTATTCCTTTCCGTGTGTTACCTGTCTCTCTGTTTCTCCTGTCCCCATTTATGGCCCCCCCCCCCTAAACTCCTCGTCAATTGCATGTGTCTGATGTGGACGTGCGATCGGCGAACATCATCGTCATCCACCATTCGTTCCCCCTAAAACAAGTCCAGGCCAAATTTGATCGTTTGATCATACATAATGCCGTCTTTTTTGTAGTGTGCAAAATTTCGTAACGCCCGCCATCGTCGTCGTCGCACTCTTATGTTTTGGCACACCGTTGTGAATGCAGTAAATACTGTTTACTGCCTACTGCTGTTGGTGCCTGAGAAGAGGGCGCGCGCGCGTCTTCCCCGTTGTTCCGCGCCGGTGGTTGTTGCCGAAGAACCCGCGCCACCCCACGGGTCTGCTGCTGCTGTTGCTGCATGTTTTCAATCTTCACTGATCACTTTCTGTCACTTCGAATATCGTCCCACTGAGGTCCGAGCAACATAATCTGATGGCCATGCCTTGTCAATTCACTTATACAACTGGTAGGTGAAGAAAATTTCCCGTTTCACGATGATTTCTCTAGTTACTCGACCAATTTAAAATAAGTTTTGAATTGCTATGAGAATCTTTTCATATGCCCTGTATTTAAGTAAACAAAACTCGCGTTCGTGCAAATAACTTTGTCGATCGGGAAGTTACTCGTCTCGTCTCGTCGTGTGTGCATCACGGCCTTCCCCCCGTACACCTTACTACCTACCCATTGAGTCCAGATACTATACGGTGAAGTAGGAAGACACTGGACGAGTTTCACCGTGCTACAATTCTCTAATATTCTCTGCTGTTCTGGGGACGAAGATTATATCTTTGTACCTCTTCGGCTATCATGCCTAACGATGTCGACGGTCAGTCCTTTCAAAGGAAATTATTACTTTTTTGGTGGAATCTAACGATGGGGCGTAGCAGCTCTCCTATTAAGTCAAGCCGGTCCATTGCACGAAGGGGAGAATTCTCGGCATTCTGCTTTCTCGGCTTCCATGATCCCATGCCTTCAATGATACACCCATTCAGGATGGGCTTGAGAGATTTTTTTATGTGTTTTTACAATTCGTTGCAACACAATATCTTCATACTGCTTTAGATTGAATTCCGTTTTTTAAGGGAAACCCTATGAATCTGAACTTCAGCATCGGTTTGTGCCGTCTAACCCAATATTCCTTCGATGTCAAACTTATTTCTCATAAATTGCATCTTTCCAATACAGACCCCCGTCGGGAACTGGTCATGCTTTCCAAGGTTGACCTAACCCAGCGGGAGCTCATCTCTCCACATGAAGCTGTGTTGACATCAGACAAATATTTTCGTGATTTTCGTGGTTCTTTCGATGACTATTTATTTATTTTTGAAAATCGTCTCCATGTGGCAAAATATTTTTTAAAGATCACCTGAGTAATACCACTCCCAAGTCCTAACACAAACACGGTGAACATTGTGAACCAGGGCTAGAAAACGTGGTCCCGAAAGACTCCTTTCATCGTTCTGAACGGGCACATTTTTGAAAATCACTTTAGATAGGACGGTCAATGGTAACTGCAAAGTAGTAACCTCCTAAAGCAAGTGAACTAGGTACTGAAAAGGCAAGCAGTAAATAAGCATCTACTTCAAGCTAAGCCATTCAGATTCAGGGCACTTTAAACGCTTTGAAAACTGTTTTTAAAAACTTGCTGTGAACATTTTGGAGGACTTTGTCGGAGGACAACACCGAGACATTTGGGTGTGGCGCTCTCCATCTTCGGGCGGTAATAAATTTTGTTCAATATCAACTTTGCAAGACATTTGATGTACTCTGGGGTGAGACAACTACTATTATAACTCGCCCCCCCCCCCTACCCTTTAATTCTGCCTCCGCTCCCATCACGAATTTACCTCAGGGCAGGTAGAAAGTTTCGTGACCCTGAATTGAATCACCTGATGCCCAGAGTTCCCCAAAACCGATTTTGGCGAGATTTTCGAATGGGGCCCT